AATGCTCTTTCATGTAAAAATAAATTTTGTTTTGAAAAAAATGTTTTGATGTGTTTTTTTTCCAAAACGGTACTTAGTTTACGGACAAGCCTCGTACTTTGACAGTATTTCTTTGCGTATCTTGTAGATTATTGTTTCTATTTGCATTACAAATTTATCTCTGTAGTGCAAAAAACTGAATTTTGTTGCTGATTTATTATAATATGCTCCAAAAAGCTGCTGTGTCGTATATGTGCGAGTGGACTATCGTGTTAATGTATTGAGCATTTTGCTGTCGCATATATTTTTCACTGCCATCCACTGCCGTGATGTCGATGGCAATAAGATCTTCAAATCTACGAATGCAGTGGTAATACCTAATCAATGTCGCGATTAATTATTAGTCTAAAAATTAACGTAAAAAAATTTTTTTATATACAATAATTGCACAGTGTAATGTACGTGCGACTAAAAAGATCATTGAACAATGTACAATCGATGTGGCGGTACATGTACGTATATTTTTAAGAAGGGCGACGTTTATCGCGATTCAATGTCGGTTTAATTCACCTGAGCTAACTTGAAGGGGATACGATAGCAAGTGTACTAGAACACTTATTTTTAGCAGTAGCCTTGTAGTTTCTGAGAATCATACAGAATTATATTTCCGCTTAATAACAGTAATCAAGTCGTGTAATGATTTATACATATATGTATGTATACGTTTATATGCGTATTTTTCATACAATTGTGCAATTGTACCGTGGTATAAATATAGTACCTGGATGCTACATCTCACATATCGCCTGAGAGTACGAAATTTCATTGTCCGCAAAGTATAATAAGGATAAAAATACTGATACAGCAACATGTGACGTAGCATTCCCTAGTCTTTCTTCACTAGTTTACTTCATAATCGTCATTAGCTTTAATTACCCGTAACTAAAGTATTTTCATTGAAACCCTCTTTTTTTTTTAAACGTACAAACTTCTTCATGAGCGTAAAGTTACATATGCTGTATTAGAAAAATGCATTTTATAAGCAGTAAAATACATATTGCAAGATAGTTCGTAGCTATATTTTCGATATTCATATTGGAAGCAATTTCTATGATATTTGTAACAAGATCATTCGTTTTCGTCGTGATAGACGTCGTGATGTACGAGTTTATATTCGCTACCAATTATAAAGTTATTCCTGATGCAGTATTGTGACGCAATATACCTGTATCGCGTGATTTATATGTAATATTTATACATGTCAATTAAATATATTATCGAGTTTCAATTCAACAATATCGTAGAGTAAACAGATAAATACCAAAGAGCGTTATGTAGCTACGTTACGGGCAAATTCGTTGCATGTGCTTGTTCCAGAGATTTATGGACAAGGAAGTATGATATACGGCAAGTAGGGATTTCATAATAAAACTAAAAGTCATAAAGTTATATATTATTATTATATAAGTGAAAATACTTTATTCGTTTTGGAGTTTACGCACGTTAATCAATTTAATTTCATGTATTGTGTCAGTACATAGTAAAAACGTGCGGTATATATATACATATCTGGATAAATTATATAAGTGTATATCTTAATTACATGATACAATTCTCTTTTTCAGAATTTTGAATCTCTGAGTCAAATGGACGGATATATTTCGTTTAAATTCACGTTGCTTTTTGTTAGTCTATACTCTATATATCATTAAATTTATGAAATATACAAAAATATATAAAATATATAAATACACTATTAGCCTAAAAATATTGAGACAGTAATCCCTAATTATGTAATAAAAATATATTAAAAAGTATATAAAAAAGGGATGTCCTAAAACAGTAATGTTCTTTTAATCAGCTTGGATACGATCGAACGTAAAAAATTAGAATATTCCTGTAAGAATAAAATTTACAACAAATGCATCTCAGAATGAAATAATTCAAATATTTCAAGAGATAAGACAATCCTATTACGGGATAAAGCAAAAAATCTGATTGTTTTCTCATATTGACAAAAATATCTTACATTTTTGTAAACTGTGTTTAAAATATCATTGGCAGTGATCGGGAATTGATCGGAAATTTAATGTTTAGACGCGGCTTAAAGGAGGCTTAGAAAAAGGCGCGAGAGATTAATCGACAACGAACGATACATTCGTCGGGCTCTTAACTAGTCACCGAGCTCTCAGAGAAGCTTCTACCTGTGAAACAGCTTTTTCCAGGCTACCACTAAACTCGCCGGCATTATCCACGTGTACATCGCACTCGACACGAAGGATATCGCCGAGTTGCATCCGTCTTCGGAACACGTGAACACACAAGTGCGATAGGTCAGCTTGTCACCTGGCTGTTTTACGTAGTCGCAGTAGTTCCCCATATCTACGGACGAGCAAAATCGCTTCGTGCCAATGCCACCTGTTTCCAAAGGTACAACGCATTAATTGTACGATATATTTGTCCCAAGCGATACTAATTGTTTAACTTTGTAGAAAACTTACTGAGATATGTAATCTCAGAGAAGCGATTGTTCTACTATGTAGCAGCTTGTTCGATTTGATTTGAGTTGAGTGAATGAGCGGATCTTAAACGTGCGTACACACAACTTAATCGATAGTTGGAAAAAGCGAAAAACAAAAAGCGACATGCAGGAAAACGTAGAGATATGTATATCTTGATATATTTTGCGGAAAGTATAATTGAAACAATTAATCAAATTTATAAGGCTCTAATGTGAAAACACAAATGCGAAGTAATAAAGGAGTAAGAGCCAAAACAGGATATTAGTGTTTAAATAATTTTAATTTTAAGTCTATTACGAAAAATAATACCTCAGCCAGGGGTTTATAATAATGTACACTTTCGAAATGTCGATCTCCCTCAGTGACAAGGAAACGATTTCCTTAGTTAAATTAATTTCAAAGGCCGAAGGTAGAACGTACGAGTGAAAGGAAGTCAATTCACGTCAAAATGATCACTTTTCGGAGCAGGAAAAGTACATTCCATTTTTCATTCCTTGTGATAAATGTTTCACGCTAAACCTAGATTTTATGACTGATATAATAAATACCGACTATTGAAAAGATTAATATTTAAATGTGTTATTGAAAGTTCGCGTCTCCAATATAAATTTCGTAAAACTCTTTATACATTTTAATCTCAGAACTACTTAAACTCTATTAAAATAATTAAGGGCCAAGTGATCGTTTCGTAAAATGAACCCGGAAAGGTACACTCATGCACACTCGACGATAACACAATCTTGATATAAAAACCTCCGTAACGGCCGATCGATTGGATGCAATAACGCGCCCCGTACACGTGACTACAATTTCTCGGCACCAAGAAAGTTTTAACCATCTCGCTATCCATGCATTTCCATTCGTCCGCCGACGTGCACTGATAGCAATCCAAGGCCACAGCTTAATTGAGAAAGTAATAATTAAATCTCTAATCGAAACTACATGGCGATTGATTGTTACACAAGTTTCCCAATGACAGATCGTAAAACAATAATTATGAGGTAACTCTTAGATATCCTCGAAAGTGATGATCTACTGCAATGATATAAACAATTGTGGTTAGTAGATGAACTTTTCGCAACATGAAGAACCATTGGAACGCAATTCATCTTTTTCTTCTAGGACGAAATGATAATCAAGCAGAGGTAAGTCCTCTATTATGAGATAGGTTTCTAATAAGAGGTAGCAAGTTTTCAACACCCAAATTCAATCACAAATCTTTCTTCGCATTTTGACTACACAATCTAACAATGAATTTTCCACTAAACAGATTTCGCTCCAAGGGCAATAAATTCATGGTGGAGTTAACAGATGACATAGCACAACTAGTATGTCCACTCTCTCTCTTGGCCCCTTTGATCTTGATGGTGTATATGTACTCATCTAAGCTGCACTATCACACATACAACTTTTCTTTCATTGGTCTGTCCAGAACAATGTCGGATACACAGAAGGGATCGACGCAAAACGAAACAAATGACGGAGTGGATCTACTAGTTATACTATGCAGATGATGCCCATTATTTTGACAAAAACCCTGCTATCTCTTATTAGGAGCTTATCTCAGAGGGGACTTTCCTCTATATATTAAACATTGCTCATAGCAATTCGACTTGCTCGTGAACGCGTTCCAAGGTCTCGAATGTGTAAATATGTTCCAGCATGTTGAAAAGATCTGGGAAGAATCCGGTTCAGATTAACGCAGGCTCGCTGGCATGCTCGACTGATCTATGTGTGAACATGCGAATGATTATTAGAAGAGTTAATCGGCTTTCCCCCATGCCACCACTGTGTTAGTCTCCCAAGCAGAGTCTGTAGGGAATATCTTGGCTGCTGTTTACCCTCGAAACGGCCTACGTGCTTGACGCAATACTGCGCCCCGTAAACCTCGGTGCACGGCATGGGCTGAAGAACCACGTCGCTCGTCAGGAATTCATTGCACTGAAATGGGTACTCGTTGCTGGTGCTGTTACACTGGTAGCATTGTATGCTGTATCCTGGATAAGAAAACTGTTCTGTTAAACTTCCACGGATGAGAAACGAGCGAGATCATCCTGGGCAATCGTCTTGTCGCTCAATTGTGGCAAATATTAACAACTAAATGTTCAACTCGCACCTTCTAAGATATAAATCAGTTACAGTGTAAACGCCTTTTTAGGACCTGGCACAGATGGAGGTGGCCACTTGAATTATCATGTGAATCCGCAATCCGTATACCGCGCCCGCGACGGGACGGTTACGGGGTGACGCGGGGCTACGTGCCCCGCCCAAGGTGCGTCGTCCGCGCGTTAACCTCACCTGTCTCCGCCAGCAGCGAGAGCACCGCCAGAAACGTGCACGCCGCGACGCAGCGACTCGTGACAGCCATCGCAGCCTCTCCGGTCCGCCCTCCGTAATTGTCGATCGTCGCTCCGACCCAAGCTCTCCGTTTCCCCGTCGATCGCGAAGGCTGGATGTCACGTAACGACGCGCACCGTTTCCCGCGACTAGAGTGTCTCGCCAGCAGCGTGAAGGCGTCGGCGAGTCGCGCGCCCTGAACCTAGCCCGAAGCTCCGGGAATCCCGCGTCGCCCTCCGGCGACGGTCGCGCATGCGCGTTGCGTTTGTTTTCCTCGGACGAGGAGGCGAGCGCGATTGTCAAAGACAATTGGAATTTTCAAAATTCGATATTTGGTGAACGGAGCAAATGAAGCCGCGACAATTTTCCCTGGAACTTTGTGCAATTCTCCCCTCTTCCTTTTTCATCTAGAGTCTAGACGACATCGCTTCAGTCTGACAGCCCGCCACAGTTGAAGTTTGCAAATTATAAATTGCAAAAATTTACATCCAGAGTGGGTTCATTTACGTCGGTATGTATATATTATCATTTATTTCGCCAACGAATCTTCGAACGTAAGTAATATAACAACTTCTAACTTTGTCGGAACATGACGAGAAATGGGAAACGGTAAAGCATAACATTTATATATTCATATAACGCAACGCTAATCTAATGTACAGGACGACAGTCTCTCTATGCAATCATCTCCGAAACCATTAAAGGAAAAAAAAAACGATAAGTTTAAAGAGACATATCTCTCTCAACAAAAATAAACTTTTAGATTTACAAAATGTAATCTTGTTTGCATCGTAGAATTTTAGCCGGCGATAAAACGTAACTGAAACCATATTTTTAAGACGAGCGCTAGTTTTCAAGATATCACGCATATTAATTGCACAGATTCAAGTGGAGCTCTATGAAAAACATATTCAACTACATATAGTTGATAACTGAACGGTATTTCGTGTACGCACCTAACACATAAGAATATACGTATATAGCAATAACGTAATATGTACATTTCTTTGACTCAGGTATGTAAAACACGATGGAAATATCTACGGTACATCACACGTTATCATCACCAAATAATACAAAGAAGAGGCAACGCATCGCGTATTGTATACACAGGATGTAGAAAACTCGCCACGGAAATATTTGTATGCGTCTTCGCCCGTTTCGCCTGGTCGATTGTACCAGGATTCACCGGTCATCCTGTACACACACAATTACAACGTTCAAAATATCTTTCTGAATAGAGATACGGGAGATCAATGGCAACGGGATTGATTTCCCGTATCTCACGAGTCGGTGATTGGTTCTTGGTATCATAACTGAGCTCATTTAGGATTCTGCTTCGCGCCTTCCGCAAGTACGGAACTCTTAACGGCAGTCTTGTTAATTTTTTTCAGAAGCCTGGAAGACTCGCTCGGCTTTACGTGTCCAGCAATCTTGGCTCTGTCGCGCGTCCCTTGAACGCTCTGCTTGTCGCAGGCGCGCGGCACCTTCGGGGATCCCTTCGCGCCGGTCTCCGCCGCGCGGGACGATTCTCCGACCTCGGGAAGCGGCTTGGACGTTCTCGTGGACGAGATGACTTTGAGCCTCTTTGCGCCCTGCCGCACCGCCGCCGTTTCCTCGGAGGAGACGCGCGTCTTCGCTGAACCGTTGGCCGCCCTTGGCTTCTTATTCGCGCTCAAACGCGGCTCGAGGGTGTCACTGATCGTCGAGCCTGCGTTAGAGCGATAGCGGTCGATCGCCTTTAGAAACGGCTTCGCCTCCACCTCGGACGTGATCGCGCAGATTATCGCGCTGTTCTCCACATTGCTGGTGCAATGGGTCTTCAGCGCGCGACGTGCGAGCGTCTGCCTAGGCTTCTTGCCGCCCTTGATCCTCTTCACCGCCGTGTAAAAGGAGGCGCCGCGGCGAAGGATGCACTTCTTCACCAGGTTGCCCTCGCTCCTTATGGCGTTCCTCGCCCCTGCTACCGCGTCGTTCAATCTCGTTTCCAACTCCTTTAAGATGCCGCTGCTCCGCGCAACGTCGCCTTCGTTATCCTGTAAACAAACGGCACGCAATTGTAGATCGCGGAGATTCGGGAGATGCGTCTCACGTGTCACAGAAAGAGCCACGTACCACAGTAACAACATAAAACTAAACACGTGTGTGAGAGAGAGAGATTGATTTTATTACAACCGCAATTGCTGGCACGGTTATTATACGTAACAATTATTAATTATGCAAAGAATGACTTACCCCCTCGCGGCTAAACACATCGGATATAATTGAACACGTATCATACACTTTTAGAAAGACTAAGCGCATCTACATATATATAAAAACTTCAGAGAAAATGATAAAGTGAGCAGACGTAGCAGATTGCCTAACACGAGTAAAGCCATCTTGTCGATAATACAAATGCATATTATCAGAAAATGTTAATCGTATTTCCATACTTAAGCAAATGAGAATATTCGCTGACGCATGCCAGAGTGCTGTGTGAGGTGAACTACAGGACTCTACACGGTTCGCTGGCGATCGAAAATCCGCGGACGATGATCCTCGACGCGTAGTCGAGTCGAGTCTCTTTGCATTCTACTACACTTGATCGCCCCCATTTTGCTCTGCTTGCAAACACGATGCACGATTCATGCCAAGTTATTCGTCGGGATTGATTGGTCGGGATATCCGGGATATCAAATAAAAGATAAATAAACGATCGCTAAAAAACTGTAACATTTATTAATACACAGCTAGATATGCAAGCTTGTGTGCAATACATTGAGTGAAGTTTCTATACATGTATGCGCATGTAATACGAGACGAGCTATGGAGTGATTTGTTTAAAGCCTATTGCCGAGATCTAGATTCGTTACTTGACTTGGGGAATATCTTACTTGTCTCATGGGATACTAATTAAAGTTGCACACACACTACATCTTTCATATAATAATGATCTCCAACATCGATAAATTTATATGTTTACATCAGCGTCTGATATATTAATAATGGAATTATGCCATAACAGTCATATACTCCAAATAGTTCATAATTTTTGAAGTAAACTTTTATAAACTTCTACATATATATATATATTGTTAAAATGAGTAACGTTTGAATTAACAAACTGCCATATCTCACTTCAACAATTCCGTCGTCCAGAGATATAATGGTTTAACCACTTATACCTCTACGCCGTGCCCTTCGCTAAAGAAATAGATATCATTAATTATATATAATCATCTGTGTAATATTAACGTTTTGTTTCACAACAATTTGCATCTCTGGAAGAGACGCTGCGTATATTAGATTATGTGATCGTAAGTGCACTTGCATACATTGTTGCGTACACTGGTGAAAAATATAGTGCATAAAAAATTGATTATTTACAAAACGAGTATTATTAAATGTCAAATACGACCATAAAAGCGTTAATGTGTATGATTAATGAACACTTTACTGAGTTAGCCACAATATAAAATGATTCAGTAATGCATATTTGCATTCTATATCTTACTTAGCCATCTCATTCTTCTTTATTTTATCAGTATTGAAATTGTTATTTATAAAAAATTAGCGTGCGTCATATATACTGTATATAAATACTGCAATTAAGCAAGTCACTTATATAATGAAAGTAAAAACGGTACAGCATATCTAATATTTAATTCAAATTATATATGTAAATATTAAATTTTGCATTATCCTGTTCTGTGAAAATAATATATAATTGAGAACGTCTTGATATATAAATTTATTTAAAGTATATAGAATATTATTGTCTTGTTCTTTTTTGATAAATATATCAAGTTATATATGGAAGACCCATTAAGAAAAATTATGTTGAAAAGATTTTACGATATTTCTTATATAACAACATAATGAATAGCGTAATATCGTTATTGTCATAAAATATATATTTCAGTTTACATATTTTTATAAAAAACTAAATAGTTTTCATATAAATTTCAAAATTTTTATATAATTTAAGGTACGATTTGCACAAATTTGATTTGTAAACATACAAAATCTCTCTCCCACGTTCCTAGTTGTGCACAAATAAATTTATGTTGGATTAGGCACGAATGGGTTGCAGTGTTAAAGCTAAACAGCACGTAAAATTAGTTCGCTCAACAGAATAAATGATTATGACAATATACACTGCCTTATGTCAGCATTACAAACGTCACTCTCAGTATTTACATCAAAATTTACCTTACGCACTGCTTTGCTGGGCGGTGCAGAGAGATTGCTCACGTATGTTAATTTCAAGTGAGATTTTACTCCTCTTAGAGAGCGATATTGGCTATTTGGCAATCGGCTGTTGGGATTGTTCCCAGTGAGATCGAGAATGGAAGGACCTAGTGCTGCCCCGACCTGTACATTAACAACGATACGATATAGATACCTCGGCAGTATTGCGTAAAACGCTGAGTAGTAAGGAAAATATATTTACCGCTTCAAACACCGCAGGCGTGTACTTCGGAGGAACGAACACATTATTCATAGTTTTATTCACCCCATCGCGAATTCTAGCGGGTATCACGTTCACCAAACGGCCAGAGTTATAATTGCATTCTAGAGTATAGCTGCGTATCAGACCAGTCGTCTTGTACACCGCCACGCGTCCCGAGCCTTCCCTAGACATACCGTCCCGCTTGTCTCTGTAAAAACACACGTACTCAGCGTCCCAATAATACAAACTTAAACACATAATTTCCGCTGGCAGTACACTTCACTTACATAATGTACATATTTCGTTCCGCAAAATTGCACGATGTGAAATGAAAGTGTGGATTGTTGAGAGACATCAACTTGGGTAGAAGCATGCATGCGATAGTATCTTCTGGGTCAGTGAAGTGATTTCCATACATGAATACGCCTTTCTTCGAGGCATGGCCGTGAAGATCGATATACAGGTATAACCCAGAATTATCCGAGCATTTTGGTATCTCGCCCTCGTCGACGGCTGTACAAGTTAGCTTGTCACTCGTCCTGACCTCCGTGACGTTATCGTTTTGACTTTCTCTAGACAGTTCCTCGCTCTCATCTATACGTGGCAACAGGCAAATTACAGACTGGAAGATTACACTACAATTACGCGACATATTACCGAGGTTCAAATATATAAAATAAATATCAATACCAATTGCTGCACTGTCCAAGTGCTCTAATGGCAATAAATGTTTCTTGCCAGTAGCACATCTGTTCTTCTCATCTAACGACATAAACGTTACCTATCAAAAGGGCAATAGTATTAGACGAACACTATCGCAGATTGACGTGACGTAAAATGTATATTATTCTAGCCCTTCGTGCTTTTATTTGCAATATAAACAAATGTTAAAGAGAACTCTGTGGGTTTTCGTCATACTTGTTGCAACAGTCTTGTGGTTGTGTCACGTACAGCGTTCGCTATCGACGCAGACGAGTTTAAAATGCTTACATTGCTGTCCATAATTTCTAAATTTATATTCGATAGGTCGTCAGTTAGTTCGCTCGGTAGCTGGTAAGAATTGTGATAGTATCTATAAGAAAAGTACGTAAAATTTGGCAATGGCCGTGCATATTATTGTGCATATATTGAGCGTCAAGGTATTTAATTGGAAATATAGGCGCTCACTTTATCAAGTTCCTCGCGGCGTATATCGTAGGGTGGTCTACTTCGGAAGGATTTAGATAAACCCTATTCAAATTTATTCCCTTAGTGTCCATTCGATAATGACCTTTGGCAACACCATCCGGGTTGAGCATCGGTATCAATTTGAACACATACAGGCGACGTAAATTTGTAGCAATCTGATCTTCTCGGTTCAGTAGAAAGTTGAGGAAACCATTTAGAACAAAGCTAGACGGTGTTTCGCCCGGGTGGACTCTGGCGCTAATAAAAATCACCTAAATGCACGTATAATCGCATATGTAAACAGGCGTCCCCTTTAAAAACTTATTTTACGTCAGGACATCAACGCGGTACCTTCTTGTCCCGAAATTTGTATGGTCTCTCCTCGCTTTTCTCAGGGAACATATTACTCAGTCTATCTTCTCTCTCCGTCGATATGTTGTGATAGGAGCTTATTGTTAATAAATCTAATCTACGATCCTCCAGTGATCTTATTGCACATTCTCTATGATAATAGACGTCGTCCGTAGACATTACACTCCTTTTCCCCATTCTCGCATCGATCCTTCTCAAATAATTTTGTAAATCTGTATACGAGAATGGATAGGTAAAGGCAAAGTAAGTAACAGCTTTTGAATTTTCTGGAGTGTAATAGAGGAACGATAAAGTAAAGTCGTTCCCTCTCTGATCGAGCTGCAACGTTAAATAGTACGCTATATAACCGCCAAGACACAATTATCACATGTACGTTTATAATCTCTCGCTACATTCTTAGATACGTATTTCCTAGAAATTATGCTGCAATTACAGTGTATGTAGGTTTCTCGCGAATCCGCTCCCAGTGCAAGTGTCCGGGCACAATCTTAAAGACCGGGCACATCCCCTGACTGAACATCTTGACTTGCTTGTTCAGATTGACTATATTAAATCTGACCGAGACACTCGGACGACTAGACTTGACGCCAAAGTAAAACCAGGTTCTATTGTTGTTTTGAAACTGCGTATCGTGACAATCGTGCTTCGTCCACAAGTTGAATTCGTAATCCAACGCGTCTTTGGAGCTCGAGCTATTGGTCGATTTGCCTTCATTCTCGTAAACATCTAAAAATAGTAAAACCTCATGTTGTATCGTTACATAAGAAGTGCACTGGCGAGCGTGCAGCTCGGCGCGACGTTCCTTCGGAGTAGATGCGATCGATTTCATCGACGAGGAACAAACTTCTCCGGTTCAACGACATTTACATTGACACATTACAGACGCGCAAGATCAATGCAGATACGTGAGACCGACGTCGGGCGGTAGCTTCCGTTTACCTTTCTCGAAGGTCTCCGGGAGCCTCACTGGTTCCACCCTGGCCAGATTGGCCGAGTCGAAGTTGTTGAGGAACACGAAGCCACCGCAGGCGATGTTCTCGGTTGCGCTCGCCATCGCGCGTCGGAGAGAGATCGCGCCCGCTGCAGGAATCGGAGGACGCGAGGCGGACGAATTGCTCGTTCATGTGGCGATGGTGTCGTCGCACGCCGACTGTGGAAACGCAAATGTCCCGGACAATTCCTGCGCCTCTTCAGACACTTTCCTCGCCCGTCGGCGACGGCATCGCGCTCATTCCCGCTGGGCGAATCCACTTGATCCGCGACGACGACTCTCGGACGATCATATGATCTCTATTTACGCCACGCACGCACACGTAACACGCACACACATGCGCGCGCGCGCGGAAAGGGTGTTGCGCGCGAGAGTCCGCAGCCCTCAATGCGGTAGCGCAGCGGCGGCGGTGACGAGATCGCTCATCTTCGAGAGAAAGGAAGGGGGGGAGGATGGTTGAACACAGCTTCCTGCTCGTTTTTTTCCGATTGATTTCTCGCCGCAAAGCGAACGAAATGTCGACGCGACGCGATGACGCCCTCGCTTATCGATCGTTTTACTTTTGCGTCGATCAACTCGATCGGCGGGCAAATCCGATGATCGGGGCCCCCCGGCGCAATCCGACGCAAACTTCCGTGCGTGGGTACGAGAGATTTTCTTTATATATAATAAACAACGCTTCACTTCATTCCAGGACGAACGACGGAGGTCACGTCGATCCGTGTCAGCGGCCCGTCGTCTGCGAACGTCGCCTGCGGCATCGGTGTTTCGTTCCAGAGAGCGTCATCGCGGTTATCGCCACATCGACGCCTATACGTTTCTTTTGCGTCTCCCCCGTCGATTGAATCTGATTTTTAGTTGTAATTTTATTCATTGTAAAATGTTTGAACTTGAGAGAGAGAGAGAGAGAGAGAGAGAGACGCGAAATATTTACAATTGGCAGTGTAACTATAGCGAGTGTCAGTATTAAAAAAAATTTTATTCTGTATATACATATAATATTACCTTTCTAACAAGTTGATAATTCTTAAGAATTTAAACTTGAGAAATTTGCAAAATATTTATTATCTGATAATACATACAATGTATACCAAATGCACATTATGGGCGGTAATTAATTTCAAGCCGAATGACCGACGCATGGTAACGAGCGACAAATTAGCCGACTGCGTTTCTACGGCAGCGCCACCTGAGGGAGACTTTGCTACGGCACTCCTAGCCGGCGCGAGAAGCGGGATTTCAAAATGGACGCGCTTCTTGAAAGGATGCACGTCGGCTTTCAGAATGTATAAATAATTTATTTATACGGACGCAATCCGTCTGCAGGGATGCCGCCAACGGCGATAAGGTAACGTAAATCAAAGACTCTTAATAGGATATATAATGGTAAAGCGTATTGCGACATATATTAGCATTAATCTTTTATAGCGAGCTCAGTATTCCTCCTCTTCCTCGGTGTTGACGGTGTCTTCCTGCACCTCGCGATAGTCGAGCTCCAAGGCGGCCAGATCCTCCCGGGCTTCGGAGAACTCACCCTCCTCCATGCCTTCCCCGACAAACCTGTAAAGTTCGGCACGTCGCGTCTGAGTAAGTTACACAATTGAATGTTAGGCGGTCTACAATGAGTTGTTTGAAGCCGGAACTGTATGCCGGCCCTTCTTCTCTTACCCGGAGAGGAAAAGGATTGACATACAGTTCCGACGCCTGACTAACGACTCATTGTCGACCAGGCCTGATCGGACAAGCAAATTGCCTGCCTGGTGTCTCTCATTACAGCCGTCCTGAAAGCAAACTTTTCTTACGTTCGAAATGGAGACAAAAATTAGGGTAATGTGAAGACTTTTTGAGTCACTCCCATTGTATTCTATATTAATTTTTAATTTTTAGTATAAAGACGCCGAGCAGATCATTTACGCTAAGCTCAAGGCTTCTTACCAGTGCACGAAAGCTCGCTTGGCGTACATGAGGTCGAATTTACGATCTAGTCGGGCCCATGCGTCCACAATCGCCGTCGTGTTGCACAGGCAGCATACCGCTCTTTCCACCCGCGCGAGATCCGCACCCGGTACGACGGTGGGTGGTTGATAATTTATTCCCACCTGTTAATGCGTTTGCAACGATGACTTTGCACCACTTGTGTCACTTGTATCACTTGAATTTCGAGATCGAATTTCAGAAAATCTCAACAGGGTGAGAATCGAGAGAAACTCATAAACATTTGTTCTGCACTGAGAATTTCCTTTTAAAATTTATCCTGAAATCGTGTCATCGTGGGACAACGTAGTATTTTGGAAGTACTTTACGAGAGTTTTTTGAAATTTTACCATACATTTTGCTAGTAAAATGTACACTAAGTATGCTTACTAGTGAAATGCCATATTGTCCCACGATTAAATGATTTTCAGGATCAATTTTAAGAGAAAATTCTCCCCGCGTGTATGTAATAACAGCGAGTCGTTAGAATATATCGTTGAAACTATCTCTTCCTCGCTTTAATCTTCGCCTCAATTCCTCTTCGAGTTTCTAAACATTGTTCTGATTATTTCATAATCGCACCTTGAATCCCGTCGGGCACCATTCCACGAATTGCACGTGCTTCTGCCGTTTTAGCATCGCGATCGCCGCGTTCACGTCCTTGGGTACCACATCGCCTCTGTACAGCAAACATACCGCCATGTACTTCCCCAAGCGCGGATCGCAATTCACCATTTGGTGAGTCGGATCGAAGCAGGAGTTTGTTATCTCCGCGACGGTCACTCTCTCATGCCCGGCCTTCTCCGCTGACATAACAGGAGCATACGTCGCCTGCGTGATAATAAAAACGTAATTGGTATATAATTACGGTGCAATTGTCAATCAAATAATAATCATCCATTCGATTTCTATCGTTATTGACATTAAATTCTCGTGTTTTAGCAAACGGCGCTTACGAGCGGAAAGTGGATACGTGGATAGGGCACGAGATTCGTCTGGAATTCGGTGAGGTCGACATTCAGGGCTCCGTCGAATCGTAAGCTGGCGGTGATGGATGACACTATTTGTCCAATCAGCCGATTCAGATTTGTATAGGTCGGTCGATCGATATTTAGGTTCCTTCTGCATAGCTCAAAAATGGCCTATAATACGGATAGCACGCGATTGTAGTGACAGACTTCGCTATTACCGCTCCGCGTAAGAGCAGCTATAGAAGACATTGTCCTAATAAACTTCATTTTAGACATGTGAAATGTTGGGCAGACAACACGCAAGCTATCCGCTAGTAGAATCTACTTCTAAGAGAAACTGCCATTATTACGCAATCGATTTGCCAATAATTGGGTGATAAAAACGTTTACGGGATTCGGTAAGTTTTACAGACGTGAGATTTATAATAGGCCAATTTTAGACTGACATTTACGACGAAAAGTACGGACCTGATTGTCTACAATGAAAGCCACCTCGCTGTGCTCCAATGTCGGATGAGTGTACAGAATTGCGTTGTACGGCTCCACCACTGCAGTCGATACCTATGAAAAATGTACATGCTTTCGTAGCGAACTAGACAATTAGGTAATTAAACAAGTCAATAATATTGTAGTTCTTTGGAAAACTCGGCCAATTATTAAAGAATCGTAAATAGAGATGTATTTATACAGATTGTATCACTTGAACTTTTCTCCAAAAGGAATTGGAATTCTTGAGCATGAAAATTTCAAGTATTCTAACAAAATAGCATTACCTCTGGCGCCGGATAAATACTGAAGGTCAGTTTACTTTTCTTCGGATAATCGGCGGACAGTTGTTCCATTAGCAGACTCGAGAATCCGGATCCCGTACCACCGCCGAACGAATGGAAGATTAAGAAGCCCTGCAAGCCTTTGCACTGCTCCGTTAGTCTGCGTAGTCTGTCCAAAGTGAGATCTATGATCTCTTTCCCTAAAAAATCGCAAGAGAATTAATAATGTAAGATTACTATCGTGAAATTTACTTAAAAAAATTTTACGTATTATAATTAAGAAATTTAATGACAAAATTCTCTGAAACAGAAGTTCAATTTTCAACGATCAGAATGCACAATGCTTTTTTTCTTTATATATTATTATTTTCTTAGACAATACAACCGACTATACGTTACAAGTGAGTTTAATCTTGCTGCAGATACATAATATTGTGGCGGAAAATTAAGGTACCTATTGTGTAATGACCCCTGGCATAATTATTAGCCGCATCCTCCTTGCCGGTGATCATTTGTTCCGGATGAAACAATTGCTTGTAAGTGCCCGTACGTACCTCGTCTGAGACATTAAGAATATAACTCATTATATCTTAATTCCATCAATCTTTAATATCTTTAATATACAATGCGCATGTTAAAGATTGAGACTAGAATTCTTTGACAAAGATTAATCATTAAACTCTCAAAGACTAGCTCAGCGGACTAAAAAGTTACAAAGTTTATATCTCACAATATTTGACAATTTCTGCAATCAATGAGTTTTAACATATTCCAATAATACTCGAGGATTGACAGTTGTTGTTTGGGGACACTTGCCTACCACCGTTGGCTCGAGATCGATCAAAACCGCTCGCGGGACATGCTTCCCTGAACCTGTCTCGGAGAAGAACGCGTTAAAGGAATCGTCTCCGGAGCCCACGGTAGTATCGCTGGGCATCTGCCCGTCTGGATGGATACCGTGCTCCAGACAATAGAGCTCCCAACAGGCGTTTCCCATTTGCACGCCCGCTTGCCCGATGTGAATGGATATGCATTCCCGCTGCGAACAAACGTAAATATTTCCCTTATGTATCCCGTGAGCATACGTACGCAATAAAACGTGCGATTCGATCCAAGTCTAAAAGAAATTGGAAGAATAATTTTCTCTCTTGGTCTTTCAGCTGTGATCTTTTGGTTGGAAGAAATTCTCTCGCTTTAAGTATAAACAGCGATAGACAAAGAAATAATAGAAATAATATGATAAATCATTATCCGAGAGATTAGCTTAGTGTAATTAACTCATACTTTTCATTATTGCCGCAAATAAATTTCAATATATCGATATTTATACCGATGTTATAGGTAAGTTAAGGACAGAGCCCTTCCATTACGTCGCATTGATTGTTATACTCGCTCCATCACGCTACGTTCAAGTATGATTACCACCTTGGGCATCGTTAAAAAATTTACAGCAGTCTTTATCGCCTTTACGGCTTTGTGATGACGGTATAATATGAGTGGATCGTTAAATGTTGAATATTATGAAATTAACACTTTATATTTTATTATGTTAATTACCTTTTTTGCCATCTTTAGAAAGATTTCGTTTCTGCGCTAACTAGATGAAGGTACGCAATAATTGCCAATGCACATAGTCACAAAACAATTTACGTGTAACAATATCAAAATGCAAAGATGTGTTCAGTTCACGTTGACCGATTGTAATGACTGTTTCCTTGCACCAAACACTTGCTTAAGGTCATCGAATCCCCAAATTGTGATCAGTTTTACACAAAATTGATAATATTAAGTTCACTTAAAAAAAACTCTGTTATATAGATACACCAGATTTCAGTATCTTTTCTGAAGAAGATAGATAATTCAGAGAGAGTTTATCAGAATTTGTTCTACAAAGTAAGACGGGGACTTCCTTGAGAACCAACTTTCTATTTAGACTGACATTTCGATCACATCGAGTCTATTTTATGTGTATTTACTTCTGTCCATTTTAATTCGTACGCCAATTAAAAATAACGAGCCCTTTTCTTATAGGATAAATATGCAAATGTGTGAATAATTATCTTCACTGCGACGCATCCCACAGTAAGATGCCCATCGCAAAATGACACAAGTTTCTGATTAATCAGACACACGATTAAAAAAATTTATTGAACGAGCTTAACAAGCCTAACAAGCCACGCTAACAAGGGGTGATTACCGGCAGCCCAGACATCGTCGACTAAAGCAGCGGCTTTATCTGTCAACAAGGTCCGGTGGAAAAATGCCACCTTGACCTGATGTGTCCCCCATGGATAATTCAGCCCTATCCTAAAAGTGAGCATCTATATCGATATGCCTATAGCCGGCCTACTTCCTGACTTACGGACGCACGTGGGCAACGTGTCGTCTCGCACGCGCGATACGATATTACACGCTCTATATCCGCGTGGTACGGTAAAAATCGATTTTTTACAGGTTGACACACTGTAACCATAGCAGCTTAGTCGAATATCAAACTGCATGCCCGCATATGACACGAGTACACGATTCACCGAAAAGATTCCACCGTGCGTGATGATAAGAGATTGTCTCAGAGTGGACGTCACTTTATCGCTCGCTCGTAAAGCTTAGGCCGTGGTACACCCTCGAGTTTTGGGAATATTATTCTCCCTTTCGGAGAAAATTGTCGATAATCCGTACAAGCGTATTTTAATGTCCAAATATTTGAATATCTATAAAATATAGCTATAATGGTAGCTTTTAGAGAAAATTGCATGAACGGCAAATGGAGACTACATTCTTACTCGTTATTTTAATGTCCGTTTTACCGTTGAGTAACAGAATTGAAGGATTTGGAGGAGCGATTGCAAAAGATTTCAGATAGAAGTGGGACAATATTTTATTAATATAACGCTATGCACGTCGATCGTCGTGCGTTCATGGCACGGATCGATGCTTCATAATTCATGTTTCGCGTGTGGTGTTTTAAAACATACAGAAAAATAAACAAAAACTATGTATCTTGATAAGATTAATATATAAATTTCCTTTGACATTTCAAAAATATTTGATAATTTTTAAAAATTTACACATTATTTAGATTTCTTTAAACTAAAATAAAGAGACTAACAAAGTTAGGTATCTTATAAAAAATCTTACTAAAATAGATATCGTTTTCAACATTTGCATAAGATATTACATTTAATAAAATAGAAATTTTATCGAACGTTATTTTTGGACAGAAATCTTTTCCAATCAATCTTTTAATTTTTGTTCTTCAAGTCTTTTTCGCGCTTATTGGATTCACTTTAGAAAACTTTTAATTGACCTCGTAAGGTATCGAACATTCAAAAGTGCATAACGTGATATTTCTCGAGCTGTATACTACGTACACTGTATGACGTGTGTGCATATTATATACTTTACCAGGAACTGTGTTATTGTATAAAGACGTGCAATTCCCGTTATTAGAATGTTTACAGATATATGCGCTTATGTTAACAAATCAATAGAAAAATTACCTTTAATACTTTTTATAAATATTAATAATATTTCTTAGCAACAATGTATATGAATAATTTAAAAAAAACAATCGCGATTATAGATATAAAACTGCGTTCGAGAAATGTTGAAAATGTGCTTTTATTATACATAATTTCCATCTTGTGCAATCTTTTCTACACGCAAGTGTAGGCAAAGCTCTATCTCAATTATTAATATAGAAAAATTAATAGAATAAAAGAGTAGTAAAATAATTTCACAACATTGTATTTAACACTATCAGATGGTTCTTTATGTCTTTTAAAGAATAATTATTTCGGAAGTAATTTCTTTCATAAAATATTTCTGTTCCAATTATGAAATTAAATTGAAGATTGTGTCTTTTTCACTAAAGTGCAACATGTATACATTTTTTATGAGTAAATGTAAATGAAGATATTCGGTATTGACGGGAAAATGCGACAGAGAAACAATGTACTCACCATTTTTTCCGATTATTACCCGATTATTGCGCTCGATAGGAAACAGTGTGTCGGACCGTGCCACGACTCGATCACTGTCTGACTTCGCGGATAGTACGATCACTACACTTCGCCATTTAATAGTAGCGCTATATACGGTATCTGTCTATGAACCGGAGTTCGTAGGCGACGCGGATCAACATATGCTGCTATAGCACTCGCGACAATTGCCTGCGCATCCGCGTACAAGGTGCACTGTCCGTTATAGACAGATTTCTCGGGAATAGTTCAAGGTACGGGAATATTTCTCTTCAACTCCGAGGCTGAAGATTATATAGGAACACACGCATTTTCTTCATCATTATCTATAATTATAAACCAATATTTTTTTAAATATACTCGTCTTGAACAATTATTTTTACGCTCTAGCCGATATTATACATTATAAAAATAATTGTATAGTTTGAAAAATATAGTCTTAGAAGGGTCTACGTGTTATAAGCTATTGCTTCTTGAGTCTCTTTGGACTCGACAAAGTTATTAATTGTACTCTTCTGGGGGTCTTGTTGCATATAATAGGAGCAACGTCTGACCTCGGTGGAGTATTCCTAGTTTTAGTCTTGGTCGAGTCGCTACTGTTTTCTTCATCGTAAATCAACTTGATATCTTCTGTCTCTTCCTCATTTAATTTCTTGTCTACCTGCAAATCATTTTCTGGCCTAACATTTTCGCTATCCATGACGCTATCCGATTTACATCCATTAGGTTCCTCAGATCGATTACTTGCTGCCGTGTCGATCGTGCCGCTTTTTACAAGTTCAATATCCATTGCACAATCATCCACATCGAATGTTGGGACATTGTCTTTACGTTCGATTACACTTTTAGAAGATTTTTTGCTAGAACTCTTGGATGTTTTGTTCACCGTTGCACTTTCTTGTACAGAGACTTTTGTTTTATAAATTTTACCTAGTTCGCCTTCCTCAAAGTGTATTATGGAACAATAACCATCGCTCGAAGACGCAATTAGAATTTGACCATCGCTAGACCTGAAACAAGAAAAGACGCTAAGACTCAGAAGTAATTTGAATAACATGGCATAATATTAATTGACGATTACATACCACGAAAGATCATTTAGTCTACCATAATGAATGAGCGATATCACGCCGATCGGAGAGGTCTGTTGCGTATCGTAAAGCAATATAGAGCTCTGCGTCGCGACAGCGAGTACCATTCTGTAAGGCAGCGGTACCATAGCAGTTGGACCATCCTCTCGCAACTCAAAATATACAGGGCAGCATCGTACCGCTATAGTACATTCGTTTAAGGTAGGTAAGATCATTATTGGCCTGAAAAAGAACGCTTGTATTACTACTGTCTCTTTAAATAAAGTTACAGGCTCGAAGCCATTGGATGCTTTAACACTGACTCTCTTATGTCCTCTCTAGAGAAAACAATGATCGCATTTGATATCGTCTCTGTGGTCTCCTGCGAGTCGATTATTCCAGACGGGACGAAGATCAGGGATCCGTCCGTCGAAAAGGTCAGCCTGCGGAAAAACGACTTGAAGGTGTCGTCGTAAAATAGGCGCACGAGCTTCCCCTCCAACGAGCTGCCGGGTGGCGTCGGAATTGTGGACTTGTAAATACGCTGAACGACTTTCTTTGTAGCGATGCTTATTAAACGGCAGTGCCTGAAATATAATGGACGAAAATTCAGATTCAAAGGACGTTCTATCGTTCGCACAATTTCTAATTGCGGATCGTGTGTACCTGTCTGTACTGATGGTGCACACGTATTGATTGCGAGGATCCCAGGACACTCCTTGGACGAAACCTTTGTGGTCCGTCAATAACGCGGTTTTGCGACCTTTCTGAACGTCCCACAGTATAGCGGTGTTATCGACAGATCCAGAAATCAAGGAATTGGAGTCGGGCGACCAGCTGATGTCATAGATATCCTCGATGTGACCTCTCAGCACTTTCCAGGAGGTCCACTGCTCCTTATTTTCAGTATCGCCTGACGGCGGAGAGAAGTCCCGTCCCTCCTTCACTTTCCACAAAATAATGACCGATTCTGTGCGCGGCATTAAGATCAACTTTAGGATTTACTCCGACAAAAGTGGAGGCAATAAACGACAGAATAATAAAAGTAGCAATGGCACCAACCATCGTCTCCTGATGCTAGAATATCCCTCGACGGGGAGAATCTTACAACATTTACGGCCTTCTGATGACGCTCCAAGTCCGCCGCAAAGTTTACGGTAGCTCCGCCGCATTTCGTCGTTGTCAACTGCCAAATCTGCGTTTAAACAATCATTTAGGCCGGTATTCACAGTCATATCTTATATTAAGGCCGTCTTTAGATACTCCATAGCCAATGAAATGTTCTGTACAGCAACTTTAGGGCCTAAGCAGAATCATAGGCCGGTATTCATAGTCGGATCTTCTATTCAAGACCGTCTTGAATTTATCTAAAGATGCTGTATGGAACATTTCATTGGCTACGGAGTATCTAAAGATGATCTTAAGACGGTCTTGAATACAAGATCTGACTATGAATACCGGCCTGATACTCTTAAGACAGCCTTACAACAATGTTTTAAGCCTTTGCGTTGAGGTAACGCACAATAATTGTCTAATGTCTTAAGAGTACAAGACAGCCAGTCTGCTCAGGCCCGAACTGTCTTATGTCTCAAGAGTACAAGACAGCCATTCTGCCCTTGGGCAAATTCAGGACGATCTTAAAGATCCGACTCTAATACCGACCTAAGATTACTAATTGTCTTCGAACGCGTAATTAAGATTAAATCAAGATGTGAAAGAAATTCTCAAACACGTGACGACATTAAGAGAGTTGCGTATTAATAAGTTTGTTTTTTTTTCCATTGGCGTTACATCACTCTCACACTATTATTACATACGCATCAAATAATGATCAGTTTCACAAAAATGATACTTTCTCACAACGTTGCTCCTTGCGCGGGGCACGAGAACACGAAAAACCGTTCTCCTTATCCTCGTTCAAAGTAAGTAACGCATTACCAAAACGTGGCAGTCCGCTCCTCCGGTCGCCACTCTCCAAAACGTTTCCCCCTTGGAGTTTTCGTACGAGCCGCTCTGTACGTCGACACTCAGCACCGGGTCGCGATTGTGCCACGAGATTTCAGGAGTGATGCACTTCATGCTTCCGCTCGGTGGATCAACGACGCGACGTGGAATATGTGTCGCCGTGAACGAGAACAAAAACAGGTTCACTTAACCTTCGAGCTGTCACGTCGTTCGCGCCAAAAGTTGTCGCGCGATTAGGTTAGGTTAAGGTTAGGTTAGGTTGGGTTAGGTCGCCGCGGTCGTCATGGCAACCGTTTCGCGCGGCACAACAAACTCCGCAGGCTGCTAACAGCCGGCGTGTATCTGTACCCCGCGTTGTCTCTTTCACGGTAAATGAATTCCTTGAACACGAGGCAGTACACGGCGATCGTAATCCTGCAGTACGTCGTCCTGCTCTTCGACGTCTGCGTGAATTCGTTCGCGAGCTTCGCCAGGCGGCATCCGACGGAGCTGCTAGTGCTCTACGTGTACGTAATAACTTTTGACAATTTTTTCACGCTTTCGTCGCGACCGACCGCAATGTGTGTTTTTGATCAACGCGACGATTTCAGGATTCAAGACTTCTGCCTCATCGTGGCCCTCACGTTGCTCCTGGTGAACTTCTTCTCTACCTATATCTTCCAGGTGAACGCGCGCCCGGACGGCTGTATCAACAGCGAAATACCGGCAGAAATATTGTAGAATGCGGCGGATGGATTAAATGTGGAACCCACGTAGAGTTTTCGATGGCCGCGTTCAGCAGAAAAAGCTGCTTCGCAACTGTCGTATAAATCCCGAATCTAATTGGCGTGTGCTCTTAATTGTGGCAGAATCTAAGAGTTTTAATTTTTCTAACGTCCTTTATAGTAACTCGTTATTTTTGGCCTTTACAAATTGATCATTTGTTTATGCATTCAACGAGCGTCCACTTTATATTATTTAGAATCTAAGAGCATACTCCAATCGAATTTACGAACTTTACAACTGTTGCAAAGCAAAGCAAATAACGGAGTAGACCTACTAGTTATAATATGGCTAAGATTTCGCTTACTGGCTAATGGGCTTTTATGTCTCTCACATTCTGTATATTTGTGTAAAACAAGTTTAATCTTCAGGCGGGTTTGATACAGCTGCTGTACACAAGATTCCGCATGACGTTAGTACTATGCATTATATACATGATATTATCAATCAGTCTTCACACGTGGCACATCACTATACATTGGTCGGCGCCGTTGAAACATTATTGGACAAGAGGATTTCACGTTCTCTACTCCGCGCACAGAACAGGTACGGCATCGGCAAACTTGGAGTATCGTCGCGCGTTAAACAAGCGTATGATAACCCCCCGAGTTTCTTTCTTATTCAAGTTGCGGTGTTGTACTACTACTTCTACAAAAGAGCCTCTCTGAGGATCGGTGATCCAAGATTTTACAAAGGTTCCGTTTGGGTGCAGAAGCAGTTGAGTATCTCGTAACTGCGTGTAAATAAAATTCCATGATACAAAGGATTCTTACGATATCTTCGCATTTTATACAAATTTGTATAATTACATTACGTGGATGAGGCAAGATTGGCATATATTCACATGAATTACAATGCAACTTTTTAATTCATATATTAAATAAACTTTGTACAATTTATACACATTGCGTAAAAAAGCCTTTATTACAAAGTATCTTTATATATACAGGTACGTATATATATCTTTGAGATCACGTGATAATTTTACATTATTGAACCTCGATCGTGCCAACACACATATTAATGATAAATAAACCATCACTCCATACTCTCAGATTGACCTTTGTTCTAATTATTTTCGTGCTATTTTTGCTATATATACAAATTGTTAATATATCCAAGATAATCATTCAAATTGGAGAAAAAATATATAAATTTATTACAAAGGGTGATTTTTTACGACTGGTACATACACCAAAGTATAGCAGAGTGTACACTCAGCGTCATGAATACCTTTACACTTGAAGAAAAATGCTAAAGAGATACCCAATCAGAAAAGTTATTTTTTAAAAAATGAATTTTTCTATCGGAACATATCGAACTGTATTTTCATGGGGAAAAGCTTTCATGACGCCGAGTGTACACTCTAATACACTTTAGTACACATATGTACCAAACAATCGCCTAAAGTAACTGTTATGTGCATTATCGTATACCAATTGTTCATACAAAATTGATCGCACAGAGCGTGTCTTTACGTAAATCATGAAATATATATATACATATATACTTTTATATATGTATCTGTATATGTATATATCAATGTATGTATATATACATATATATATTTATATTCCAACTTTCTATATTATTTTGCTTATTTTCCGATGACCAGGAACCAATTTTGATCATACAATTGAATATTTGGTGATCACAATACACAGAAAATGTACAAACAAGTAATTACACGACGTTAGATCCACCTGAAGCATATATTTTTGGTATCTATTGCGGTAGAGATAAGTCAAAATTTTTTACCCGATTACGTAAGAAATACATTAAATTTATCACACAGTCTGGCAATATTATATCGTAACACGAAATAAAATAATTAGTATTACTAGTTATAATAACTTAATTTACTATACACATTTCTCACTTCAGAATAGCTCACACAAACATTCAGTCTCACAATTTTTTCGCAGTTTCGTGAATTCGCCATATTAAAATATTCATGTTTTGCTAAAATAGAGCGGTCATATTTTTATCGGAGTTCTGAGATGTGACCTAAATACTTCTCATTGCGAAAGGCGAGAATAAAAGTCTATATATCTATTATATATTTTTTTAAAGAAATTTTAGAATTTTATGTAAAAACAGTTTACACGGCTCTTCCATGCTTGAAAAATCTTCCTTATGTCAACTTCTATTATTTATAAATTGTGCATTTAACGAACACAGTATTATATTAATGGAGCTCGCACTCTCTCTTTTTATTTACTTGATGACAACTAATTGTTCTTACATCAAATCCTTAGAAATGACGCATTCCAAAAATAAAATTGATATTTTCTGTGCTTCAAATACGTAATACGAACACTGTACACACAATGAAAGACAGACATACTAGAATATTTGCATACGTATCACCTTAGACTTGCATTGTTCCAAGTAAATTCAACACTGTTTTTTTTAAGTATCCTATATACCAGCGAGGTATTATTGTCCCAGCAGCTTCAGTAACTTCTTTCACACCTGCGTGGTATGATTACCATGCCAAAAAGTTAATTTATTCATCAAGAAAGGTGGCAAGTTCGCTCGTTTTATATTGTATTGAATCTGTACGTCCGGCGGGATACGCGTAGGCGGCGCACAACAGGCAGGCACACAATGATATCTGCTCACTAATTTTGCTAGATTCGGACACTTTGCAGACACCTTCGCCGTACAGAGAGTTCATTTGTATACGCATCACCGTAGACTTGCATTGTTCCAAGTAAATTTAACACTATTTTTTTTAAGTATCCTATATACCAGCGAGGTATTATTGTCCTAGCAACTTCAGAAACTTCTTTCACACCTGCATGGTATGATTACCATGCAAAAAAGTTAATTTGTCAATCAAGGAAGGTGGCAAGTCCGCTCGTTTTATATCGTATTGAATCTGCACGTCCGGCGGGATACGCGAAGGCGGCGCACAACAGGCCGGCACACAATGGTATCTGCTCACTAATTTCGCTAGATTCGGACACTTTGCAGACACCTTCGCCCAAAATTGCAGGGGACAGCAATTGAGAGGTGCCGTGGGCTCCGACTGATATTGCACAATCTCGAGATCTGCCTTCTCCTCCGCGGACATACCAGACTTTGTGGTGCAAAGGCTGCCAAGTAAGAACTCCATACCTGTAATTAAGAATCTGTATAAAGTATCCATTTCACGCTGTATGCACAGTTAGAGATACGTTATGTGTAATTATCTCCAAAAAAAAAAAATACCTGAGACTTTAGATTTTTTACTTGGTACTTCCTCATTTTCAATCTTTAAGGTGATGTCCCCAGATTCTTCCTGAATCAATTCCGTGAGCATTTGCTTTATAGGAGTGCTAACTACACTTTTGTCTTCCTCAGTGACATATGGCATTGATTTAAATCTATAACAGAAAATAAAGATTAAGCATATAAGATAAAATATGGGTTCTCGAAACAAGTTCCAATTGGGATGACGAATGGTTCAATGCGAACGCGGCCGATTGGTAAACAATAAGTCTCTGGTTCAATCTTCGGTCATCCCATGTACGTTTTTAAATTTAGGAGATTAATTTGAGAGTTGAAAGAGTGAAGAAGCATAAACGAGATATTCAGAATTAAGCATAGATTTGTAGAAAAAAATAAATGTCAGAGAAAGAGAGAATTTTATGTAAAAGTACCTAGGGTCCAGGGCGGTGGCAATTTGTTGAAGGAGCTTGACACTCTCGTCAGAATATCGGTCTTCCAACATGTCTGCCAAGGACTTCTTGAAAATCCTGGCAGTGTCACTGTCCCCTTCTTTCGCTTTCAGATGCGATGATTTCAGTTGCCAAAGCAATGGCTTCAGCAAAGATATCAGCGGCATCTTCTCCTCGCTCAAAGTCATGATGGTCACTTTGAACGGTTCGAGGACGTTCACTATGTCCTCCATGATCATCCACTGTTCGTTGGTGATCTCGAACATCTCTTGATCAATGCCGTCCATATTTTCTAATATCGACATGATTATGTCGCGACGTGGAAGCATTTGTTCCAACATAATGCATGTCGATATCCACACAGCTGGATAATCCAGCGATATACTAGTATCATCCAACTGGAATCAAAAGCAATAAAATTTTTACACACATCGGTGCCAATCATATTTATACTACGCCCTACGAAGTAATCTATGGCCGGTACCGATTTTATACAAAAAAATGAGTAAAAATTTCAAAATTCATATATTGATTAATTATATCCTTTTAGACAAACTGTCACTTCGTCATAACTTATGCTTCGTATAAAAGTTTTACAACTTGTACTCACATGAAAGTGAGTTTCCTGGGATTGGATTACATGTAAAATTACTGTATAACCCTCCAAATTGGGATTAAATGTTTTAAATAAGAATATAGTTTGTATGAAACTTTCGCGTTTATGTATGGGTGTGATGTATTGTAGATGTGTGTCCGTGTGGTTACGTAGGCTGCGTTTCGTGTTTAGATGGCGCACACAATTAGAGGCGAGGGAATCCTAAAGGCATCTGTTTTATCGACACATTCGAATATAGTTTCTGCCCTGGGGCCCCGATTCTCGAGATCATTCGAAGAAGAAACGTATACGAATATTCTGCTCTGACAGAAAAGATGCAAGTCGATTGGTTAAAGCGAATAGCCAATTAATCAACTTGCAACTTTTCTGTAAGAGCAGAATTTTCGCATACGTTTCTCCTTCGAATAAATTCAAGAATCGAGCCCCTGGTAAATCTTTTTATTAGCTATTGGTATTTAAAATTTTCAATTGAAATTGCAAAACATTTTCATAATGAATTCAATTGAAAATTTTAAATACCAATATCTTTTTCATTAGACTTCTGACCAGAGTGTTTTAAGTATGAAAATGTTCTGCTATGCGGTCCGCAACTTATCCCGGCGTTATTTTGTGCACAAGAGCTAATAGAAAAATTTACCGGCACAAAAACTATATTCATATGTATCGGTAAAACATACGACTTTAGGATCCCCGTGTAACGGCACTCTGTGTAAAATATTAATTTAAAGCGTCACGAAGATACCTCTGACAATTGTTCTTGCATAGTCAATGTCGCTAGCGCGGCTGGATGGCTTATGACAGTCCCGATGACCGATCTGCACTTGGATAACATGCTGGACACTTCAGGGTTCTCGAAGCAAGCCTGCGCGCACACCTGCAGGGTATGCAGCAAACAAGGTACTACAATCAGATTGCGGCTAGCCAGTGCAGCGTGCAAGCCCTTCCTCGAGGTGCTAATAACCACTGCAGTTATTCTGTCTGGCTTGATGTTCCATTCGACAAACAGGGAGTTTATAGTGCTGTCCCAGTGAGCCTCCTCCCAATCCAAGGGCGCGTGGAAGGTGCTCAGCACTTTGCACTCCAGTGTTGCCTCCTCCATATTCTGATAGTACACCGAGAAGGTGACGAAGCTCTCGCCATTATTGGACCGCCACTCCTCGAAGGTAAGCGCAACCTCCGACGCGACGCAGGACAGAGAAGTCATAACCGACTCCCGGAAGTTGTCGTATATCCGCGGTATTATCTCTTCCTCGAGCTTATTCTTGTTCGGGATCTCGCAGGGCGAGCGCAGGGTGGCCACTAGCCTCTGAAACCCGTGTCCCTCCACAATCTCGGGTAGCTGCAGGTCCATTATTATGAACTCGGCGACAGCGTCCGACACGGTCTTATCGTCCACCGACTGGCCCGGCACGTTCTCCTCCGACATAAGGAACGCCACGTTCTGACTGTTAACGGAGCCGCCCTTGATCATGACTCTAAGCGGCTGACCGATGGTTATGTCGTCCTCCACGCTCGACAGACTTATGTTAGGGTCCGTAACGAATTGTATGTCGCCGTCGATCTGCACGGTGCCGTCCGCGTTGGTGGTGTAGATGTATTTCGTGGGAGTCAGGCCGCTCTTGAGTACCTTCTTCTGTATCTTCCGCTCCTTAACGTCCTGGGGCATACCCTGCCTCGGCGACGGCAGGCTGTTCGCCTCGAGGTCCATCAGCTCCTGCGCGTGCTTGTTCTGCAAGTGCATGCGGAGATTGCTCGTGTTGCGGTTGTACGCGATCTGCGTTTTGCACAGTATACAGACTATCTTCACTTTGGTTAGAATGTCGCCCTCGTCGGTGGCTGGGAAGCCGAAGAACTTCCAGTAAATGCTGCGCATCGACGGCGGCACGACCAGTTTCTTGTACGTATACGTGCGCTTGTCTTCCATCATTTTCGCCAGTACCATTTGTATCTCGTTCTTCGAGTCCTTCGTGTCCTCCGACGTACCCGGCTTCGCCGTGCCGTTCGCCAGCGCCTGTTTGTTTTCCATAGCGGTCAACTCCGGTCGGATCGGCGCGCGATCGGCGCTGCCCGCATGTATACGATCGTCTCTACGGTTCTCGGCATTCACCGCGTGTCCGGCAGCGGTCTCAGAAAAGCGGAGACGCCACGAGGCCCGACGCCACGCGGGGACGCATCGCGCGTCGGTCGTCCCGCGCGCCGGGACGTGGCGAGAATGCCCGGCCGTTCGCCGCGCGGCTACGCACACGCTCCGATTTATTCCCTCCCCTCGTGTCTCACCGCCGTCAAACGTGCTCCTTCGCGCTATCGAAGTTCAATTCAATCCCTCGCGTGTGTCGAACGCGGCGATGGCCTCGGCGCGATCAGCTATCGACTTACCTGCGACGATGCGATATCGACTTTCGTACCGTTCGTCCGCGAGGAGTATCGTTAATATCGTTGGCTACAGACCTCGCCTGATCGATTCGAGTATCATGCCGTAATGGCGAGCGGGATATATATACAGCGGAGCCCACGGTGTGCGTCGTGCGTGGCGGTCTTACGTATAATGCCTTGCGCACACGGCCTCTCGCTGACTCTCGCACAGGACATCGCGCACACCGGACGCGGAAACGCTCGACCACGTGACGGGAAGGGACGCGATAGCCAATCGTCGTTTCACGAATACGGAAAGGCAATTGGCCGACGCGTAGTTTTACAAAAAGCGGAGCTATCAGTGGCCGCGTTCAGCAGACACAACTGTTGAGTGAGCGCTCAATGATTTCTTAACATGATTGACTACATGAAAAAAAAATTGATGTAAACATCATGCAGATAATTTATGTTTGTAATTCTTCAGTATAGCTTCAGCCGGCGTGGCCGCTCTCAGGTTTCTCTCTGTCTATAGTGTGAACACGTGGCAAGTAACATTTTCATTAATGCATTCACCCAAGGAAAATGAAAAGTCAAGATGATATCAATTTGATGTCATATCGTCGATTATTCTTACGACTGCGACTCTGCGACTCTCATTGTAGACCCCGCATAATGCAAAGTACATTCCATATGTAAGTACTTAATTATATATTTTCACTTGATTCCAAAGATAACCTATCCATTATATTTATTATATTTGCCTCGAGTTTTATCTTGCAATATACATCTTCTGTACTTGAGATAATATTATTCCAAGATATATGCATATGTATGTATGTATTTCGCTATTAAAAAAGAGTATATCATTACTTATGTTACGTTTAAAAAATTTTAAGTTTATAAATTACGATTAATTTCTTTCAGGAGAAAAGTTTAACATATTACAAATTTTTAAAACCACGTGCACACAACGTCGGGTCTCGCACTCCCGCCTGTAGGTGAGGTACCAAAAGTGGGGATTGCCGCTCAAGCGGTAGGAGCGCGCCCGGGCTGCGGGGACTGGCGGGACATAAACATAGCAACGGTAGTGAGGTAGTGAGGAAATTTGGTTGGAGTCGATGCGATCTACCATCTTCCTCGCGAGCCGTGTAAGCGAGAGAGGCCGCTTCTTCTTCTTCTCGGCGAGAAGTTGTGTGCGAGTCTGACGAAGACGGACGGCATTTCCGCCGGTGCGTGTACATTATAAGAAATAACATTATCTCAAGAGTGTATCATTCTTTCGACATTGTATTTACTACGATTTCAAATGTCGCGCTCCAGTAGACCGCACTAATATGGCGCTTATTGTTTCCCCTTACGTCTGGTTGGACAGGCCGAGGAGAAATTGCTCCCACTCCAGTTATTCTTTCCTCTATGGTGAACACCCCCCATGTCGTTAATAGCTTGGTGGGGGACGTCGATCGAGAATATCGAGATGCGATTTTCGGTGCAACAGGTGCAGCTCGCACAGCCTCCTAGTTCACGATGGAGGTTATGGCTGTGCGTCGAATGAGGTGTAAAAAAAATATGTACATTGCTCCGTCGTGACAGAGAGACAAGAGCCAAATCCCAAGGTAACTCCGCTCCCAATCTCAACTACGGTATATCCATTCGGTATGACAATTTTTCTCTCCTTTAAAGAACAAAGCATCGAGGCACAACTAGAGACTTAGGTTATCCGGGATGCATTCGGTTTTTTTTTCTTATTCAGATTGAGCTGGCCTTTCGCGGAGATGGAGTGAAACTCGAGAAACCTATGTCTCCGTCTCGAGCGAGATGCGTCTGCCGAGGCGGCTTGAACTGCTGTCGCTCCTGATACTGTGGCGATTGATCGGCGTGTTCCTGGTGCGGACCGTTCACGTGCCGGACGAATACTGGCAGTCGCTGGAGGTGGCGCACCGCCTGGCCTTCGGGTACGGACACCTCACGTGGGAATGGACGACGATGATTCGTAGTTACGCGTATCCGTTTCTCATCTCAATTCTTTATCGGACGCTCGCCGTCCTATCCTTGGACTCTGCACTGCTGCTGACGACGCTGCCCCGTGTCCTCCAAGCCGTCCTCGTTGCCTACGCAGATTACAGATTTTACATGTGGACCAAAAGCAAGTGGATGCTCGTCTCCCTGTGCTTGAACTGGTACTGGTACTATTGCGCCACGAGAACGCTGATAAACTCGGTGGAGACCGCCTGCACCGTTATAGCGTTGTCCATGTTCCCGTGGAGAGAAGGCCACGTACAAGGCGTGAGATTCCTGTGGATCGTGGGTCTTCTCTGCATGGCCAGGCCCACCGCTGCGATTATGTGGCTGCCCTTGTGCCTATACCACATTCTCACGAGTCTGGAAAGGAGAGTATTGCTGGCCCGATACGTCTTGATATGTCTTACTTGCGCCGCTATTTCTGTATCGATAGATAGTCACTGTTACGGAACGTTTGTGATAACACCCTGGAGGTTCTTCCGCCTGAACGTGCTCGGGAACGTCGGGAGCACTTACGGCGTCGGGCACGCGTTATGGTACATCTATGCCGCTTTACCCGTGTTGCTCGGACTGCACGTCGTTCCGTTTCTACTCAGCTGTTGCCTGATAGCTAGGCGTTCCGCTCTTTTCCCTCGGGAGTCGATCATGCTGCTGACCATCGGCTGGACCTTGCTCGTCTACTCGCTACTGTCCCACAAGGAATTTCGATTCATTCTGCCCCTCTTGCCGTTGCTGATTTACACGAGCTTCGCCTGCCTCAATCGTCTGACCGTCAGAGTCACGGCGGACGTGCGTAAAGGACTCGTGGCGTTGCTGGTATGCAGCAACGTCATGACCGGACTGTTCTTCTCCACGATCCACCAACGTGGCACGCTAGCGATAATGGAGAGCCTGCGGGGCGAAATAACTGCCGCGGACCTCTCATCGACCGACACGCTGATCCTGACCCCGTGCCACAGCACGCCGTTGTACAGCCACTTGCACGTAAACACGACGATAAGATTTCTAACGTGCGAGCCCAACTTGGACAACGTCGAGGATTACGTGGACGAGGCGGATCGATTCTTCGCAAACGCGACAGCCTGGCTCGACGATAATTACGTTAAAAATAGCGAAGTTGCGTTACCGACTTACGTGATAGTATTTGATAGCGCCGCGAGCAAAATACCTGACTTTTTACGTACGTACACGTTGATTGTCAAAGTGTTTCACACGTACTTTCCAGAACGGAATTACGGGGAAAATATATTGTTGTACAAGCGCATGTAATATGTATTTTGCACGACGTACGTTAATTGCAATATGAAGATGCTGATTACCAAAGTATTTCACACGTACTTTCCAGAACGGAATTGTGGGGAAAATATATTGTACAGGCGCATGTAATATTTCTTTTGTACGATATACGTTAATTGCAACATGAAAATGTTTTTATCAAAATAGCAATCTTTGACTGGAGGCATCGTAAATCGATCTGGTCAAACGATTACTAATATAACTATTGTGTTGTATAAAAATTGAGATGCACGAGCTCAGGAGGAATTTCTGGTTATTTAGGCATTCGGTATCGAAAGAAACTTTTGTTCCTCTTGATTTTCTATTTGTTATGTAAAGTTTCCTGGTGCCGATAAATGTGCGATAAATTTTGGGGATTCGTAATTTATAATGTAAAATATAATTAGACAATTCGTTCCTTTACGTAATTCTTCGCTACGCTACATACACTTTCGTCGTTTCGACGTACACGTTGGGAAAAGGGCGTTCGCTCGAAAAGTGAATGAAAATTTCCACGTTCACGGTTTAGGCATAAGAATCAGTTTAAGTTGAATACCGGGCGGAAAACGATCTCCCTCGTTCCGCAATTCTCTTTTCCCGGATAAACAGGCCGTAATTTTCTACGATTTCTTAAATTAGCTTTCTTCAGCTTCCGCGTGACGCGCGGACGGAAAGAATGCCACGGGGAGGACGTCAATGTCGGTAATTCTCGTTATCGGTGACAAAAAGCGGCACCTCCTGCTCGTCCGGCCATCAATAACGCTTAGGCCATTATCGCGAGGCGGTCGTAAACCGAGAGGATCCTCCGCGCTAAAAGCGGGGAAGGGGATGAGCGGGAGGGAGGGAGAGGGCCGGCGAGCCCTCCGCTCGGGAATAAATGGGTACCGTTAGTAAGTAGGACTCGAGTCCCAGACTCCTCCGATGCGGGAACGATAACGATTCTAACGGTACACGCGTCGCACCGCGAGATCGCTCCGAAACGCAATTATCGCCCGAGCGCTGCGCGTTTCTCTCGAATTTAATCACAGATCTCTCGGCGGCCGCCCGAGTGGGAGAGGGACGTCAGCGTGCATCGAGAGCCTATCGCGAAAACTCTCGAGAGTTACCGTTGCCGCTACGCGTTAGGAATAGCCGAATGGAATTACCGATCTCATTATATTGAACATGGCTTGTAACGAATTCGGTCGCTCGCGCTGAGTGCGCGCTAAGGCTCGTTTACAGTCAATTCGTGTATTCAAGGATCGTCTTGAAGTACCTCTTGAAACATTTCTTCATATCCTGCCGGAAATAATTCTACAAAATTCTACAGAGACTAAAATATAACCGCCAGAATCTAAGAAATTCTACTAAATTCTAGTAAATTTAAAAAGTGTTATAAAAATCAACATGAAAATGCTGGAATTGGAACACTTTTGTTGATTTTTGTGATATTCTACGAGTAAGCAGATGCTTTAATTCTTTATAAGATTTGGTTCTTTCTCAAAATTTTGAAACTAGTAAAGTTTGTACTAATTTTTACAAAATTGTACATTTTTGTGAAATACTGCTTGCATTAATTTCTTGATTTGAGAACATTGTAATTTGTGGTACTATTTCGTAGATACTTTTACAAAAAAATTAATGTTTCAACGAGGATATAAAAATTTCTACAAATTTCTATTTCAAGTCACTTTTTGTAGTTATAGAAATGTTTTCCGCTAGGGTAGTCAGTAAAATGATCTATGAAGCAGCTGACTAGGTAGTTTTCGAACATACATTTAATAGCGAATTCGATTGCTTGCACTAGTTGACTAGTGGACGCTGACAATGCGCACTGAGGCTTGTTTATAGTCGATTTTTACCCATACAGCACAATCCTTGCAGTTACATTGCAGCTACATTACAGCAATGTTGCAATATTGTAGCAATGTTATTGCAATGTAACTGCAAGTTGTGTGCTGTACGGGTATACATATTTAACTTTGCCTTAAATACATGTTCAAAGAGTATCTAGTCAAAAACTGATCCGTATGGATGTTGTACAGATTATTTTACCGACTAAGAAATATTTCAAGAGATATTTAAGACGTTCCCTAAATTATAGGAGTTGACTGTAATCAAGGTTTCGTGTGCACACTCAGTGCGCACTAGTGCAAGCAACCGAAGTCGCTATATAAAACGATCTTAAGCAGAGAACTGACTATAAAGTCTCAATTAGTGTGCACGCAGCGCGAGCAACCGAATTCGCTATGCCGTCACCGTTAATTTATGTTACACACACCTATTAATACATTCGCTACTGAACGCCGTGTGTATCGTAGTATATGTATACTCGTGAAGAAAAAAAAGAAAGACAAATGCTACAGTGCCGCAAAAATGTCAAGGACGCTTTATTCGCGGCGCATCTGTCGACGTCGCGAGGGGATATCTCGAAATTGACAATGGTCACCTTCCCGCCAGGGTAGCCGTGAGACGAGACGCGTACTGCGAGTACGCGGCCAGGGGGGAGGGAGAAAAATGAATGGGCGAAGCCACAGGCGCGGGCGCCTACGAGTAACGGCGATCGGCGCGGAGGAGGTAAAACGGAAAGTAAGGTACCGCGTTGGAAAAGTCGCGGGGAGGAAAAACCGCGTGCGTGGTGTCGCGGGGCGGGAACGGGTTGGTGAGGGGGGGCGGGGGGGGGCAGGGAATCCGGAGATTCCTCGGGAACGCGGAGCGCGACGAGAGCGAGGTAAGGTAACTCCGCGCGCGCGTGCGTAATCGAAGGTACGGCTACACGGCAAGACCCCGGGGAAAATGTAAGGGAGGGGGGGAGGGAGGAGGGGGGCCGACTACACGGAGTCAACGTTCCGGCCGGGTCAGCGACCACGATGCTCTCGCTCGCTCGCTCTCTCCCGATCGCCTCCTCTCGCTTCCTCGTCCCCATCGCGCCGGCGAGAGCAGTTTCCTCGCGCGCCGCGCTTCCCGGGAAGAGGCCCGGCTTCCTCGGACCCGGGATCCTCGGCCTCCTCTCGCGCGAGAGAGGGTCTCTCTCTCTCCCCCCCCCTCCTCTCTCTCTCTCTCTTCCTGCGGTGAAAAGCACGTCCCCGCGGGAAGCCAGAACTCGTCCGCCGAAAGCTGATTAACGCTCGTGGCCGAGCCAATTTGTTAACGTGCGTGCGAATGTACGCGTTTTTTCTGTAACTTTCAGTCGCGCAGCGATGCCAATCGAGGGCCCGGTACACGCTTAATGGTATTATATAGATTTAACGGCTAGCCGCTTGTTCAAGACGGTGAAGGCAATGTGATCCGCTATCGCGACGCAGGGGGTAAACCGCGGGATTGTTTCGCGATTTCGGACGAACGACGCAAGGTCTAAAATCGATTGACGCGCGAGGGAGAATTAAAATATGTATATAAATACTATACGTTGAACTGTATTCTCGCTTCATTATCCAGGCATTGCGCAAGGGCCTTCGTTAAATGATGAGCAGTTCTAGCATTTTCGCAGAATTTGACAGTGACGTTAAACGATATTCCTACGAAATGTCGTTTCTACGCAACTTGAACGGGTCGCGCGTGCATCTTAACGGATTATCTGTATGCGAGTCCGCGAGGTCGCGGCGCAAGGATCAGTCCCGTGTGTGCGAGCCGCCGTTGGAAGGAATGCACGGGCGATCCGCGAGAGACCTGTCCTGTCGTTTCGAAAGTTACGTGGCCAGACGCAAGAGCCACATGTATGAGCGTTGAGCACCCGTCCGGGAGAAAGTTCCCCGCGCAGCGGGGAATCCGCTCTCCGTGTCCTCTCGCGCCGCGCGTAAGAGCCCCGGATAGTCAAATCTGTCGAAAACGGATTTTGAAAGCTATCTCTGCTACAAGTTTTGCCGATAGGACAGAAAAATGCCAACGGAATCGAATAACAGGGTATAATGATAGAAGGACTGCAGTGACTAAACGCAAACAGGATCTTCTTCTTCTTCTTGTGATAGGACGGTGTTCTATCTCCTCTATCAGTCTTTAGTGCTTTTAAGCATAGTAACGGGAAGTCCCCTATTGTGAAACAGACCTGTAACAGGAGATAGTAGGCTCCCTGGCGAAAATGAAGATCGGAACGTAAGGCAGGTGTAAGTAGAGACTGACAGAAAGGTAAACGAAACTGCTAGGAAGCGCGAATTGAAACAGCGGAACGTAAAAGAAGCGAATTAACTTCTTAAAATGCTTCTTTTACATTCCGCTGTTTCGATTTACGCTTTCTAGCAGTTTCATTTACCTCTCTGTCAGTCTCTACTTGCAACTTGCCTTACGCTCCGATCTTCATTTTCGCCGGGGCTTTCAACATCCAAGTTCAATCAAAAATCTTTTCTCACAACGTTCACACGAACAATGAATTTCCCGCTAAATACATTTCACTCCAAGAGCATGACAGAACCAACAGATGATGCCTGTTAATGTAGCAGAAACCCTGCTGTTTCATATTGGCAGCCTATCTCATGATAGGGAACTTTCTCCTATAACTGAGTGCTTTTGAGTATCTTGAGACGTCAGATACTTATGCCTTTTTCTTTTCGGTGGTTTTCCAGGTGGCCGACTGTACTGTCGGATCTTCCTAAGCTCCCACTCGACTACTCATCACTCGATCCACGTGTCTTTCCGGTTTCGGCGTCTTGACCTTATCCATCTTACCACATCCTGGACTTTACAGTTCGATATCCGTATCCAGTATCCTCGATCTTACAATTTGTTCAGTTTCTCTCTTTCGCTTCTGACTCGATCGTAAACGCTAACTTCTTGTATCAATTAATCTAGCATACGTGTTTTCAGCGGAATCTGCCCAGCGAGAAATGATGTCGATTTGACATCGCTTCGACGAATCGTTTCTCACTGGGTGCCGTTCTGTCACTATTTAACTGCCGCATATCGCATTTAAATGTTTACGAAATTGCGGACCTGCCAACAAACCGCTGCCTGAGATTACACCGGCAGATTTTGCCAGCAAAACGCGAGTTTAATGTGGACACAGGTGATCCCGGATTTGTTGCAACGCCTGAACAAAATCTATTGTCACACTACAGTTTGCTCACTGGAAGGATCTTAAAGTGGATCGACCTCGTCGTCCCTTTAACGCTCCATCTCTCTCCTCGTGCGGATCATGGAAAGGCCGAGAGAGGGAGAGAGAGAGAGAGACAATTGAATGACGGTTACAGTTAATCGGCATCGGAACGGTCGAACGAGAAGGAGAGAGAGAGAGAGAGAAACGACCGTTAGATTTTCGTGGTTTTTTAGGCGGACGGAATTGATATTCGCCTTTTCAGCTCCGATAGACGGTGGAACCGTTACAACCGAGAGAACTTCGGGATCGCGGATTCTTGATAAGAAAAAAAAAATGCAATTTGAATCCCGAATCGACCGATTTGTAACTTCGAAAATCCGGATCCTGAAATGTCATCGAGAGTCGCTGGATTTCT